CGACGAACTATCCTAACTTTGAACTAACTGTATCGTACATATGTGAAGCTACGCATTTAATTTAGTTATTAGTTTAGTTTAATTTGAGTAAAGGGAAAAATCAGAGAAATTCGCTAAAAAACATTCTGAGACAACCTAATAGTCACTTACTTACCACAGTATACGAAGGTAAAGAAGTAATACATACATACATTTATATAAATATGTGACGTCACTATAAGGCAATCGGACTGTGAGCAACCGACAAAGCGTTTCAAATAATAATAATAATTATTATTCGGTTAGTAGTTCTCTGATTACAAGTACGCGTTGCTGTTGTTGTTGTTGATGGCATTACGTCTGATCAATGCTTAATTTATACTTAATTTATGGTCAGTACATTAGAAGAAATTTTCCTATCTTAGCTATATAAGTACATACATCTATGTATGTTGTTAATTAATGTTAATTTTTTCGCTTTTTACGATACCGGGATTTCCGGGATGTCATTATCATTAGATATTTATTACTTTCCAACAACTTTGATCGAAAAAATTGCTTCCATATTGTTTGAGAAGCTCTCCTGCCATATAATAATTAATAAATAAATAAGAGGATTTATTTTAAAGGACTTTTTAATTTCAAACCTATTTAACCAAAAATTATTTAAAAAATTCAATGCATTGTAGAATAATCTTTAGAATTAAAAAAAAATAAAATATTATAGGTAATTTTTTAAGCTGACAAAGTTAGAAGGACAAAACTCGAGAATTTTATCGAGTCTATATAAGTCCATAACATATAATTATTTCTAAAACAAACATTGCGAAATTTCAAGAGTAAAATTTAAAAGGATATTTTCTGCTTAAATTCTACAGAATTTCGTCTTTAATTTGAAACCCATACTTCTTCTCTAAGCCACGTCAAAGTGAAATGAGTGAGATTTACCTTCGCACGGTTTATAGCCGTTTACAAAAAAAATATTAGTTATTAAATAAAAAAAGAAATATAGCCAATATTGGTCAAGAAAAGGAGTTTATATTATTGCCATTAGTGCAAATTACAAATCCCGAAAATCCCGCGATTATTTGCCAAAAATCCCGGGCTTTTCGGAACCTAAGAAAGGCCGGGATCCCGGTATTAACATTCCTAGTATGTATGTATGTATGTATTTAATTACGATTCCGTCCACGCTACGCCCGCCACGCCATGTCACACCAAAGGCTGGCTGTCAATCATCATCATTAGTCGAGCAGAGGAGGTTCGTCTGAGGACGTGCTACCATTTGTGGTGGACGTGTTGATATTTAGGCAAAACAGGTGTTGATTTTTTCAGATTTGTGCATATATTTGTAAATACATAAATATACATATGTATGTTGAAATATCACGTGTGGTTCAATAAGAACACTGGATCACAAATTTTAGTTTGGTTTTTGTTCTCCAAACGCCACTATCCAATTTCTATGTAGAATTGCTCGACGACTTCGAAAATCGAGTTAATTTTTTTCTATGGATAAGTTTTTGCGATATTTGCAATTTACCGTTATTCAGCTTAAAACAAAAAGCGGTTCCAATTAATCACGCATATCTTACGAACCAATTTAGCTATCTTAAAACGAGATGACGACAAATGAAAGCTAATAAAATTCTCCATGAGCCGCATATACATCACTGTCTGATAGAACTGAAAAATTAATAAATCATTCCAGTTTTTTTTTTTTAATGAAAGAATGATATAAGTCTAACTTTAACAGAAGATAAATTTGAAAAAATAACAGGATCTGTGCCAAATTTTTGCATTTGTGCTAAAGCCTGTTCTGTTAGAATGAAATCAAATTACTAATGAATCGATCAATAAATAAAGAAGTAATTAGTGGTCAAATGAAAATACGCAAAGATTTGTATACCCGAGCGCACCTGTGCACAAGGGTATTATAACTTTGTTCTCATAACGGTTGTTTGTGACATGCAAAACGAATCGAGATAGATATAGACAAATGTATTGATAAATGATCAGAATGAAATGAGAAATCGATCAGTCTGTCCGTCCGTCCGTCTGTCTGTGCACACGATAACTCGAGTAAAAATTAAGATATTTTAACGAAACTTGGTACGTGCACTTTTCAGAAATACGAAAACTGCGATATTTTAGTAACCACTGAAGTTTATTTACTCAAAATTGATATTTACAATAATTTTAGACGAAAAATAAGAATTATACAAATATTTGGGAAATGGACTCCCACTTATGGTTACATGCACATATCTTGGTAACCGCTGCACCAATTTCTTCCAAACTTGGCACAGTTGTTGGCCTTGGGACAACATACCAAATGGCCGAAATAACCACGCTCACATTCTATATAAAGGTAATTTAGAGAAATACGAAATATTCGACAAATCAGTAAATATTAAAGCTAATTTATTCAAAATTGATGCTTGCGACAATTCTTTATCAAGAAATACGTTTATGATACAATTTTGTAAAATGGGCCGCGTAATGTTCGGCTCCGCCCGAACTTAGACTTTTTTACTTGTTTTATATGAAAAATTAGCCTCAGAGATACTCCTCATCTAGAGCAGAATTGACTTCGGATATTTCCGTCTTTCTCATTGCCAGCTCGTCGGCTATGCAGTTTTCAGGAATGTCACTGTGCACAGTAGCGTGGGCCGAAAATCCGCAAAAATACTGTTTATTGCGCTCTAAAAAAAATCTTTGTACAAGATTAAAATGTTTGATCAATATCTTATGCTCGCCCAAGTCCACCAATGTTCAAGTGTAAAAAAATTTTGTTTAGCTTATTTCGATTCTCTACAAAAATGGTTCATGGATACCAAATTATATAGGACTAAAAGCCTGATTATGGCAACTTAACTTAACTTAACTTAACGGAACGTAGAATTTAGAGAATCAAAATTAAACAGATTTCGTCGTGGCATTATGTTACGTTAAGTTTCGGCTGTTCAATTATAAGCAACATCCATTTAACTGAATTTTTCAGTGAGAGCCGTAAGTTACGTTAAGTTGCCATAATCAGACCATAATACTTTCGCAGATAATTGCAATTTTAGTTAAAAAATATGTTAATTAATTAATTAAATAATTTTTATTTTTTGAGCACATTGAACTTTTATGGACTTGGGCGAGCCTAAGATATTGACCAAACATTTTCGTCTTTCACACCGATCTTTTTTTTTGAGCATAATGAACCATATTTTTGCTATTACCAATCAAAATTCTAAAAAAAATGGGCTTTCGGCCCACGCTAGTACCCAGGGACCCATACAATAGTCGAAAAGCATTTTGATGCCAGCAAATTGAAAAGCCTTCTGCATTCTGTGGCTACTTTAGACGTAATCTAGTTGACGTAGATTATTCAGCAGAGTTTCAAGGTCCTTTAGGTGTCCGTATTTCAGGTCTCTCCACAGCTGGATCGCGTTTAGACTGGCAGAACTATAGGGGGATGGAAATGTTCCATCGTGGAAGATTTAGCATTACTTCCAGAGACTTGGTGGGCGTAGTGGATCCTGTGATACGAATGTGGCTCTGGACAAACTCTTCTTTAACGTCGGTCAACATACGGTAACGCCATAAAAGAGGATGGGTCTAATGACAGATGTGTACATCCAGTGAACTAAACGTAGTTTTATTCAGGGTGGTATTGGCATTCTTGGAGCGGTCTTCGATGTTTCGCTTCTAGTCAAGTTTTCCGTCTAGAATAACTTCGAGCTATTTTAACTCGCTGGAGAGAATAAGTTCTACCCCATTTACGGTGGCAGGTTTGAATAAAGAAATTTTATAATTCCCCGTCGTAATATTGTTATTGTTAATGTAATTCCTTACCCGTGCAACTCAATTGCTGACTAAACGTAATCTGAAACTATGAAAAGAAATCGAAAGTGGTCTATAAATCAAAAATGCTAAATATATCGATAATAATGCGTCCCCATACCTACCCACATGAAATGATCCACTACCACGCAATTACGACACTGATTTCATTAGTAAAAGAGCAAAAGCGTGTACAAAAAAAAAAGAATAACTCAAGCCAGTAGCGCTACAGTAAACTCGATATCAATCGAACCAACAGAAATACAACTAAGTATGTAGTTGTGAAGTCGTAATCATAATTCCTTTCTTGCCTGTTTAGAGAGATTATTTTACCAAATTACTACCGCTTTACTTACATATTCCATCCTCCAAAATCAAACACTTAAGCCGGCCACATTAGTTCAGCTCGCTTCTAAATTCCCGGTGAAATTGGCCGTTCAGGTAATCGAGCAAATTTCCACATTACGTTAGGAATGGCGACGTCAGAATTACTGTAACATTCCCATCTAGATGCTCCGGGCTACTTCAGCTCAACTGGTCGATAGGCGTCAATTTATCCTATCTTATAGCCCGACTATCTTAACTCGATGAGTTATCTTGTTTTTGTACCAACTAACGATCCTATATCAGCTCTATCAGTCGAACTATCCTAACTCAGATAGGATAGTTTGCCAGAAAGCATTGAGTTACTAAAAAGTCACGATACGCGTAGTTAGATAAAATAAATTAGAGCCTATCGACCAGTTGATATGAAGTAGCCCGAGACCATCAATCTGATACTGTCTTACCTACGCTGTGGACTTACAACTAGTAGTTTTGTGTGTATACATATGTAAATACATATATGTACCATTATGCAATCCTCTCCTGAATTCATATTTTCAGGGGCACAGGGGTAATTGTTTGGTGCTCATCCCATCCAGCCATATATCAAGGTACTCGAAGTCCCATAATCCATCGTTCACCGCCTTAACTAATATTCGTATAAGTAAAGTTATCTACTTAACAGTATTTCGCTAGTCAACAAACTTCTACTTACGGGTTGGCGGCAAACATTACTGTTTCCATGAAAGATCTTTTGCAGAGCCCCTCCTTTAAAATTCTAGGCTCTGCCTCCCTTTATATACCATCATTTAATATTCTCCTAAAATTCGCTACCATCTAAGCTATTCTCTTTCACCTTCCAGGTCCCGACTTCATGCCATGGATTGGCAATACTATACAGCTGCGCAAGGAGGCACGCGCCTGTGGTGGCACACATCTGGTATTTGAGAAATGGTCAATAAAGTACAATAGCAATCTGTTGGGACTCAAGCTGGGCAGCGAGTATGTCGTGGTGGTACTCTCCTATCCGCTGGTGCACGAGGTGCATGTAAGCGAGGTTTACGATGGACGTCCGGATAATTTCTTTCTGCGTCTGCGCACAATGGGTACACGCAAGGGCATAACCTGCACAGACGGCCAACTCTGGCAAGAGCATCGCAATTTTGCAATGCGACAAATGCGGCATGTCGGCTATGGACGCACAGAAATGGAGCAGTATATCGAAAAGGAGGCCACTAATTTGCTGCGGTATATCGAGGATCTGCAGGGAGAGCCTGCATGGCCGGGCTCATTTCTGGCGCCCAGCGTGCTTAATGTGCTATGGACCTTGACAGCCGGTAAAGGCATCGATCGCGACGATAAGCGTTTGCAGAAGCTGCTTGATATGCTGAATCGACGCTCTAAGATTTTCGATATGTCTGGCGGCGTGCTCACACAAATGCCATGGCTGCGGTATGTGGCACCGAATTGGACGGGCTACAATTTGATTTGTCAAATGAATCAGGAAATGCATGCGTTCTTCTTAGAAGCCATTAACGAGCATCGCACCAGCATTACGCCGACAAATGCAGATAGTGATCTCATCTACGCCTACATACGCGAGATGAACGAACACAGCGCTGGGGTGAAGAATACAACGTTCAGTGAAACCCAGCTGACAATGACCATTTTAGATTTCTTCATAGCCGGCTCGCAGACAACCAGCAATACTACAGATTTGGCTCTAATGATGCTTGCGCTGCATCGGCGTGTACAGGAACGTGTCTATGAGGAAATCACAACTAATTTTGAAAAATTCGAAATCGCCGTAAATCTTTGCAATCGCGAGTATTTCCCCTATACGAATGCATTCATTATGGAAGTGCAACGTTATTTCCATATAACACCAATAACGGGGCCGAGACGTGCCTTATGGAATACGACGCTCGAAGGCTACAGTGTGCCAAAAAATACTACAATATTGATCGGCTTGCGTTCTGTGCATATGGATAAAGAGCATTGGGGTGATCCGGAAAACTTCAGACCACAACGTTTCATCGATGACGAAGGAAAGGTGCTGCGCGATGAGTACTTCATGCCGTTTGGTCAAGGGCGTCGCCGTTGTCTAGGCGATGCTTTGGCGCGTGCGTGCCTATTCTCATTCCTCACGAAAATTGTGCATCGTTACCGCATAGAATTGTGCGAGGAAGCTATGCCTTCTGTAGTGTTACAACCGGGTATAACGCTGACGCCGAAGCCCTATAAGGTGCGATTTGTGGAGCGGAGTTGAACTTCGGTGGTGTATATTGTAGGAAATGGAGAGTGGGACGGAAGGAAGATAACGTATTTATGCATAGAATGAAAATTTAAATTTTAGCTATTTGTGCTTTTATCAATGAAATAATTGAAAAATTTGCGTCAATAACACTACTTACCATTTTAGAACTGACATACTAGTTTCCTTTTAAAAATATTATCACTGTAAGGGTTATATATGTACATAAGAACAATTCGAAAGGTGAGTTGATTTAGGTGTTTCATCTCTAAAAATACTCGAACTAACCGAGTAAGGAGTGGTCCTGGGAATGTAACTATTATATTAGGAAATACAAAGCAAAGCGTCGAAAGATACTCCACTTCCTATTGATGCCAAATACTTATTTTAGATTATAGTACAAATAAAGTGGTTTCGTGACTGATTGGCGCTGGGAGAAGAATAATTCGATATTACCGCTGCCAAAAAGCTACGATGAGTGAAACTAAGTGAAGCTATCTTCTGACAGGTAGGCTTTTGTTCAAAAATTTCAATATGGTGCGTAATACAATGTCTCAGATTTATAACTGCAAGAACATAAGTTCCTGACCTGCCCACATTGAAAATAAGTCCGTGATTATAGCCCTGCAATGATTTCCGCTGATATATTCCCCATTACCAGTGGCCGACCGAAGCTGGGCTGCCTTCTTTTAAGTCCCTAGGCTTAAGGAGACTCGTTGTGAAAAGGTATAGTTGGTTCAATGTTGATTTCGACCGTTTACACAGAAATAGAGCCGGTTAGTTTGTTCGAAAATTCGACGACTCCGCTGGCTTGGACATGTTGTATACATGAATGACGATGTTCGGAAAATATCCTTCCAATCTCGTCACCAATGGGTGGAGAGCGAAAGAATGGGCGAACACGAACACAATGGAAGGACCAAGCGCAGAAGGATCTGTCTGCACTCGGGACGCGCAACTGGCGCAACTTCGCAAATAAGAAAGTCAACTGGCGAAGTTTCTTGATCTCGGTGCAAACTGACGAACTGGTGTAGAGCCAGACAAAAAGAAGTTTCTCTAATGAAACGTTTGACTTCACAGATTTTTGAATAGCTGAGGTCCGGCAGACAGTGGCAAGAAAATACTAGTGGAGACACTGCTACTACACAGCATCTATATAGTTGGCGGGAACATACGCTATGGAACAGCTTACAGCTGCACAAAAGATGAATTGCCAAAACGTCCTATCTTCCATACTGTGCGACCACAACGACTATCGGCCGGGTTACAACAGGACATGCAAACCTTTACTCTTACGTTGAAGTATAAAAGAAGTGGCCTTCCTTTTAAGAAGTCATACCGGCCATGAATAATTAGTAGACTGCGGATGTTTATGCAGAAAACGAAGCCTAAAAATATGAACGAATATTTTATCAGTCTGGGCAGGGAGAGCTCTGCTTTTTTAAATTTATTTTTTTTACTCTCCAAATACATCAAGTCTCGCCTAGCTACTCTTTTAACGCAAACGCGGTACCCAACAGGCTAACCTAATATTTACGGCTTGCGTTTTGGTACGAACGCCGTCGAACAAAAATTGGAAATTGAGTTAACTTCATATGCACGTCGTTCAATTTCAGTTGGTCCTACACAAGTTGTTTGTGCGTTAGCAATTTTTGACAGTAAATTGGCGCCGTGCGTGAACATTAGGTTAGCCTGCCAGGCGTTTAACGACACCAAAATAAGCCCTCAGGGACACCCGCTCGCAGGATCTTCTCAGGGCGGTAAAATTCGGTTTTAAACACATCGAGCGGAGAGCTGAAAAGGATGGCACTCAAAAATATTTTATCATATTGCACAAAACTAAATGAGATGAAAGTTTAATCACTGCTACTAGAACCCTTTTCACCCCTTTGCATTTCAGAAAACGAACGTTGATACCAAGTTAATCCATACGGAAATTGACTATCTTGTGAAATGTTGAGATATAAATGAACAGAGGCTTCTCAGGAGTTCGAAGAATAATTGTTTACGGCGACATTTTGGACAAATAACCTGATATTGAATCGGATCCCGATCTTATTATAGGCAACTCACGATCGAATGAAAATACATTCGATAAATCGTTCCATGATGGCACATTAGACCGCATCACCTCAGATATTATAATGAGGTATGTATGCACCGTGGCCTAGTGATCCATTGTGCCCCCTGCTCTTCACGATACTTCCTCTAAGCCCGAATCCTTCAAGAGTAGCAGCAGCGCCTTCGGGGGTAGGGAGTGGATGTGCTCAAGCTGTGGCCACATCAAGTCCAGCCCATCGTATTATCTTACAAGTAAACAAAAAAAGTTCACCGTCACCCAGTCTAAAATCTTTTTGTAAAGCAATTTGGAAAAAAAGTCGAAAAATCGACTTTTTACATTTTTTTTAAAGCTCTACAGGAATAAAAATACTTCCTTATAAAAAGTTGATAGATTTTTGGTGAGCTTTAATTTACTGTCTTTTGGGATGGCACATTAGGGTGGTAGGAACTGAGATCTGGTGGGTGGGTAAGTACTAGAATGGAGTACTTGAGGTCAATGAACTCTAGAACAAACAAAAAACTTTTCTTCTCGAGACAAGAACAACGATATATGCTACCTTAAGATACAACTGTGAATGCAGAAAATATGACGAAAAATTCGTTTGGATCTGTTTTTTTTTTTCGAAATTGCCTAGCAATTGAATTTTTTTTCTGATGCATACTTTCGACGGGCAGAGCACGATTTCGAAAACCTACTTTATTGCACTTCACTCCAATCAAGTTTCAATACTGGCACTCGGAAGAAAAATCACAAAACATGGTATGCAGTCATGCGAGTTAAATGAGTCAGGAGTGTAATAGAAGTTTATTACAAAATTTTTTAATATTTTTTTTTGTTTCGTTTTTGTTTTTGAAACACATCTCTGAGATGAGAAATGATAATAATAATAACAGCAGAATTAATTAGTAGTAGTATATTTATAAACTATGTGTGTGTGTGTCAATGACCGTTTTGCTTTTGTTTTCGTTTCTTTTTTTTTGTTTTTTTTTTCCTTCATTTTGTTTTGCTAGTAAGTAATTGTAACAATTAAAACTTAAAACTTTAAAGATTTTTTGCTTTTACTTATATTTAAAATCACTTTTTTCAACAGGTTCACAATTTTCATTTCGTTACACGGTGTTCAACAATGCCTATATTGTATTTTGTATTTTTTTTTTATATACATATATATCCTTTCTCTTCTTTGTTGGTTTTTTTTCATATATGTACATGTGTACTACACACTTATTTATGTGTAAATGTATGTAATGTTTTATTTGTTTTCTTTTTTTTTTAACTTAGCTCGTACAGTTATGCTTAAAGTTTAACTTTATTAAATCGCTTCTTATACCTCTGCTTCGCTACAGCAACGTTTTTTACAAACACAAACATATCATTTACAATTCATCGTACATTCATGCGCCATACAAACATTCATACATACTTGCAAACTGCACTTGAACTTGGCGAGTGGTTGCACTCTTTTGCGTGTTGCACATCGCTGCGAGAATGGTAGCGTCTCGCAGATAACTCGCTAATATCAAATATAAAACACACCAAAATATTAAAAAAAAATCCTATTTAGTAAATACTTCGGTTTACTTAATTCGGAATACTTAAGTTTTCTTAGAAATACGTTATAAATTTGTTTATTTTTCAAACACTGCATTTTACGAACCCAATTATTTTCGAAATATAAATTTCGGACTCGAATTTTTTACTAATCTCAGTATTTTTTAAGTCGATTTTTTGATGCTCGATTCTTTCGATCTCTCATCTTTTTGAAGACATTTTTGTTTTTCTTATTCGGCTTTTTTACGAATGTAAAGTTTTTTCCAGCTGAAAGTTGCTACGGACTACAAACTTTCGATATAGAATTTTTTAACAATCTCCATATTTCTCTAGGTCGACTTTTTTGGTGCTCGAATTTGTTGCGAATTCCCAGATTTTTTGATCCTATTTGATCCGACATTTTTACGAGGTTAAAGTTTATCGGTCTGAAAGTGCCCTCATTTTTTCACGCGTCTTCATGCTATTCGTTTTTTTTCTTTGTGATCCCAACATTTTACGAACAATTTTAATACGAGTTGAAAATTTTTAGATTTCGAATTTTTTTCAAACTAAATTTTTTCGGACTCCGAATTCTTCTTCAACTGTATCCTTTTCGAAAGCGACTCGACTTTTTCACAAGAAAGATTCTTGGTAGAAGCTAAACTTATTTCATAACTAAATTTTTATAAACTCGGAGGCTAATTTTTAAAAACTTTCAGACGGTCAATGCGGGTCACTGATTTTTTTGCGTTCCCAATTTTTTCAAACCATTTATTCTTCGGAGTATAATTTAAAAAAATCTCAAAGATCTGGTAATTGCATTTTTTTTAGTTTACTCGATTTTTTCTAACCCGAAATTTTTCTTGAACTGTATCTCTTTCAAAAACAAATCGACTTTTTTAATAAGAAAAATCTTTTATGGATCAACCGCATTTCGAAGCTCAATATTTACAAATTTAGGGCCTAATACAAAATAATCACAAAGATTTTCAATGCATCTTACCAATTGTTTGTTCTGTGACCACAATTTATGTTAGATTTTGTAAGATTGGGACGTTTTTGAGCCCAGGTTTTTTTTCGAACTAAATTTTTTTCAAATACGAACTATGAATTTAAAGATTTTCTTATTGCTAGAATTTTTTCGATTCCGATATTTTCGGAGTTGAATTTTCGAAAACTTTGAATGACCTGTAGCATTTGTTACTGTTTTCTTTCCTTGTAAAGTATTTCTTTCAGAGTTGATGAATATTTGACAAAACTACCAGCTTTCTCGTAGCAATGTGCACATATATTTGTGCCTGTACGCTCTCGCTTAAAAGTCAGTTGCTCTCTCTCTCACCAAAACTTTTTACAATTCATACACATTTTGAAATATAACCACTTTATTTTTCAATAATTCGTTCATTTTTCAATTTATTAACATTTTATTATCTCTATTT